CAGAGAAAGACAATTATCATATGGTTTCACTCGTAGGCAGAATATAAGGCATAGCACAGAGGATCATGGGGGAAGGGAGGGAAAACTGAATGGTAAGAAATCAGAGAAGGAGCCAAACCATGAAAAACTCTTGACTCCAGGAAACAAATGAGGGTTGCAGAAGGGGAGAAGGGTGGGGGGGTGAAGTAACTGGGTGATGGGCATTAAGGAGGCAGGTGAAGTGATGAGTATTGTGTGTTATATGCAATTAATGAATCATTGAACACTACATAAAAAACTAATGATGTACTATTTGTTGCCTGATTGAATTTAAATAAATTAAAAAGAGAACTATAGACCAATATCTCTGATGAACTTAGGTAGAAAAATACTCAAAATCATTTCCACATTCCCACAATTCCCACAATCAAGTGGGATTTATTCCCAGCATGCAAAGGTGGTTCAATATTTGCAAATCAATCAATGTGATATATTACATCAACAAGAGAAAGGGTAAAAAGCATATGATCATTTAATATAAGCAGAAAAAACATTTGACAAAGTACCACATCCGTTCACGATTAAAAGCCCTCAACAGGGGCGCCTGGGTGGCTCAGTGGTTAAAGCCTCTGCCTTCGGCTCAGGTCATGATCCCAGAGTCCTGGGATCGAGCCCCGCATCGGGCTCTCTGCTCAGTGCAGAACCTGCTTCTCTCTCTCTCTCTCTCTGCCTGCTTCTCTGCCTACTTGCGTTCTCTGTCAAATAAATAAATAAAATCTTTAAAAAAAAAAAAGCCCTCAACAAAGTAGGATTAGAAGGAACATACCTCAACATAATAAGGCCATGTGTGAAAAACCAACCTTGTACATGTACTTAATGGTGAAAAACAGAGCTTTTCCCTAATCTCAGGAGCAACACAAAGCAGTCTACTCTCACCACTCTAATCAACATAGTTCTGGAAGTCCTAGCTACAACAATCAGACAACAAAAAAGAATAAAAAGAATCAAATTGGCAAGGAAGAAATAAAACTTTCACTATTTGCAGATGACATGATAGTATATATAGAAAACCCCAAAGACTCCACCAAAAATCTACTAGAATTATAAATGAATTCAGTATGGTCACAGGATACAAAATCAACCTATAGAAATCCATTGCATTTCTGTATATTAATAATGAAGTGGCCAACAGAGAAATTAAGAAAACAATCCCATTTACAATTGCCTCAAAAATAATAAAATGCCTAGGAATCAACTTAACCAAGGAGTTGAAAGACCCGAACTCTGAAAACTGTAAAACACTGATGAAAGAAATTGAAGATGACCCAAACAAATGGAAAGATATTCCATGCTCATGGATTGGGAGAACACATATTTTTAAAACTTCCATACTACCTAAAGCAATCTGCAGATTTAATGGAATCCCTATCAAGATACAACAGCATTCTTCACAGCACTAGAACAAATATTCCTAAAATCTGTACAGAAACACAAAAGTCCCTGAATACCCAAAGCAATCTCGAAAAAGAAGAACAAAACTGTAGGATATCACAATCCCAGATTTCAAGATATACTGAAAAGCTGTAGTAATCAAAACAGTTTGGTACTGGCAGAAAAATAGACACTTAGATAAAGAGAATAGAGTAAAAAGCCCAGAAACAAACCCACAATTATATGGTCAATTAATCTTCAACAAAGGGGCAAAAATATGCAATGGGAAAAAGTATCTTCAACAAATGGTGTTGGGAAAACTGGACAGGCACATGCAAAACAATGAAACTGAACTTCTTTCTTAAACCATTCATAAAAATAAACTAAAAGTGGATTAGGTCCTAAATGTGGGATGTGAAAGAATAAAAATCCTAAAAGAGAGCACAGGCGGTAATGTCTTCTTCCATACCAAGATAGGTCTTCTGAGGCAAGTGAAACAGAAGCAAAAATAAATTATTGGGTTTTTGTAAAAACAAAACAAAAAAACAAAACAAAACAAAAAAACACTTCTGTATAGCAAAGGAAACCATCAACAAAACTCAAAGGCAACCTATTGAATGCGAGTAGATATTTGCAAGTGATGTATCTGATAAAGGATTAGTATCCAAAATATATAAAGAACTTACCAAACTCAACACCCAAAAAATAAATAATCCAATTTAAAAATGGGCAGAAGATGTGAACAGACATTTCTCCAAAGAAGACATACAGAGGGCCTACAGACACATGGAAAGAGTCTCAACATCACTCATCATCAAGGAAATGAAATCAAAACCACAATGAGATATCACTTCACAGCTGTCAGAATCACTAAAGAACACAAGAAACCACATGTATTGGCAAGGATCCCAAGAAAAAAGAAACCTTGTACACTGTGGCAGAAACGCAAACTCATGCAGCCCCTGAGGAAAACAGTATGGAGTTTCCTTAAAAATTAAGAAAATTTTCTTTAAAGTATTTCCTTAAAAAAAAATATATATATATATATATATAAAATATATATATGTATATCCTTATATTTTTCCTAAAAATATATATTTATATATTTATTACTCAGCCATAAAAAAGAATGAAATCTTGGCATTCACTACAATATGGTTGGTTCTAGAGAGTATAACGCTAAGTGAAATAAGTCAGTCAGAGGAAGACAAATACCATATGGCTTCACACATATGTAAAATTTAAGAAACAAAACAAACAAAGAAGAAAAGAGACAGACTAACAAACGAACTCTTAACTAAAGAGAAGAAACTGAAAGTTACCAGAGGGGAGGTGGGTGTAACTATACTAGATTTTAAATTTAAAAAAAAAAATAAATAAAGACAAAAATTAAAAAATTAAAGTGATATTATGATGCAGCTTATTTATGAGATAGTGTTTGAGTTAAACAAATAAAATACATATTTTATTCTGTAAAGATTCTTGGTCCTGCTAAAAATTTAAGTGGACTAATTTTTCATCATCTCTGCGGAAGCTCTATAATTCATAAGATCTGTTGTAATGTGAAAACGTTTTATTTACGCTGGGTGGATGTTATTAAAAAAAAATCCTAATAATTGGGTTTTATTTTTTTATACTACCTAGTTACTTTTGTGAAAAAGAAATAGGTGAAAAAAGATACAAAGGATTTTTTAAAACAAATTCCGTGTAACAAGGGCCAGTATAGACTTAGCCCTAAACTTTGTCCTCGTAAAGCACAGTGTCAGTGAAGGATTCCAAAGTAACTAATGAATAAGAAAGCATCATTAAACTAGGTTTGTAGTTTCAATGTCATGGTACTTGATTAATTGCTAATCCATCAAAAATTGATCATCTATCTTTAGTTAACTAAAATAACTCCTATATCAGGATACCTGGGTGGCTCAGTCTGTTAAGCATCTGCCTTTGGCTCAGGTCATGATCCCAAGGTCCTGGGATAAAGTCCCGCATTGGGCCTCGTTGGTCAGTGGGGAACCTGCTTCCCCCTCTGTCTGCCACTCCCCCTGCTTGTGCTCTCTCCTCACTCTCTGACAAATAAATAAATAAATAAAATATTTTAAAAAAAAATTCATAAAAGGGTCTAGTATAGTGAATGGTACATAATCAGATTTTAATATTTATTGGCTAAATTGATAACAATCATGATGTTATATTAGTTTTAGTTAAGAAGAATATTAATTAATTGGAATCCCCATTCTTGATTCTGTATAATGGGTATGTTACTGCATGGTCTTTCATTTGACTATGTAAGATAGTGTATTTAAATTTTATAAACAAAAATTAATTTCAATACCTTGCAAAAATTAGAGAAAATAAAAAAGTTTCATTTTATCTCAGAATTTTGCATTGGCTGTAAATGGTAGGCTGCTCATGAATTCAGAAGATGTCTGTATTTCTTAACACTTTCTATGAGCTGAATTCATTCTGTTCATCTCAGTGCACTATAGAGTAATAGTTACAGCCTTTCCCCCCTACCTTTTTTGCTTTTTTTTTTGTTTTGGGTAGAGTTTCAGAACTCACTGAAGATATCCGCTTCTCATTATGGTAGGATTAATTATTGTAATATTAACAGCTGGATCTTTCTATAGACCATACTTATTGACATCAAAGTAATACATAATCTAGCTCTGTAAACTGGGAGACAGAGAAAGAGGTGGAAAGGGGCAGAGAGACATGTAGGCAGTGGGAGGAGAGGATAGAGAGAAGAGGTTGCTCCTGACCTACATAATATGTGACATCATTGTATGATTATTAATTAAATTATTAAATTTACAACCACAAAATAACTTAAAATAGCTGATTTATACATCTATCATATTGGCATCTTTTCAGTAGCCTGTAATAATTATTTTTCACATGGTTGCTTGATCTTGCATTTAAAGGCATGATTGCACATTTTTTGAACTACTTTTTATTTCATGTCCAATGCCAAAAATTATGAATTTGATAAGCAGATAGAAGGAACTGATTATTTTTGTAAAAAGATTGCGAGTATTGCTCAGGGTTATCCCAATGTAGTATAACATCCATAGATCTTAGACAGAATCCGTGAAATATAGATGAAAACTAAGTACTTTTTTTTTTTTCTTATTGAGAAGTAAGCATCTGTTTCAGTGTCTCAAATAAGAGCTCTGGAACTACTGAGAAAGCCTTTTCCATCGTGTGTTCATACCTTCGACTTTACTTTTTCTCCACAATTTCTTACTTTGAAATATTTCTCATTTTGTGGGCATACTTTCTTGTAATGCATAACAATGTCTCTCTTAAAGTAAGTACTTCTTTTTTGTATGAAATCGTAGCAAAGATTTGCAGTTGCTTTCATTACCTGATTTCCTCTAAAAGATCTATCTCAATAATTGAATCCATGTCTCTTTCTCAAATGATCCATAAAATTATGAATCCTAAATTAAATAAAAGCATTAAAAATATCTACCAGTAACTTATTTGTATAGCTCCTTTTATCTTTCCTGTTAAATTACCACAATTCTTAAGTGCCTAAGTGTGACTTTCAAGAAAACTAATGATGTGTCTTATTACTACTTTTTTAATAGATTGAGATTCACCAGTTTAAAATCTACTGTAACTCAAACTTCATAGCACAAGAAACATGTTGCGAAATATCAGACACCAAGGTAAGTTAGTTTTCTTGGCTTGGGAAGAATATAGAATGCCAGTTGCCTGGTGCATAAAGTGCAAATATAAGGCAGCACTGAATATCTTCTGTTGAAGCCTGGTGAGTAATTTGTTCCAAGTAAGAGACCACTCTTAGTGCTCTCACATAGTTTTTTTACACAGTTTAAATCCCAGTGTTTTGTCTTGAACTTTGGGAATGATATGTCCTCACTTTGGACTCAACATAAATAAGAGATAATTTATGACTTTTTCCATAAACTATGTTCTGACAGTAGCATCATCATTTTCCAGTTGCAGAGATTTTTAAATCTGTGATCATACCCTTATTCTGGATGTCATATATCCAGATATCATATCCATTCTGGATACCTTTATTTTGTGATAGATTTTTTTTTTTTAAAAGACTTCCTTTGTTTGAGAGAGAGAGAGAGAGAGAGAGCATGTGAGCGTATGCAGAGGGGAGGGGCTGAGCAGGAACCCTAATGCAGGGCATGATCCCAGGACTCTGAGAGATCATTACCCGAGCAGAAGTCAGATGTTTAACCGACAGAGCCACCCAGGCACCCTGTGATAGAGTTTTCGTCTTCATTTTCCCTGTTATTCACCTGGTCTACCTTTATCTCATGCCTGTATTGTTGCATTATCACATCAACTGCCTTCCCTTTCTCTAGACCTTTTTCTTTCCAGTGTAACCAGAATAAGTCTCTGAATCATTGCTTTGTATATGCATTTATTTTCTCACATTAAACATTAATTATTCAAAAACATTGATCTTCTAGACATTGTGCTGAAGAACAAGGCATTAACAGATGTGAATAAGACATATTCCCTGCCCTCTGTTTATCTTTTTCTCAAACCTTTGGTCATTCCCTGTTGGCAACAAAGCATAAACTCAGTTACTTAGCCTCTCATTCTTAAAATTCCCAACCTAACTGTACAACGTTACTTTCTTATACCAGTCTTCCATTTAAAAAAAAAGAAAAAGAAAAATTCAGTGCTTTTTCTATCTTTCATTATAATGGTCATGTGTGCTATCTTACATTATTAGACATAGTTGTATTTGTTTTTAATTTATTCAATCTCATTTTAAACTCACTGAGGGGAGTTATATTTTCTTTTTTTATTCCTAGTGCTTTGTAGAAGATAGTCAAAATATTGTTTCTTGACTTGTTGACTTATCAACTATTGAAGGAGGTAGATGGGGCAAAAATGTATTTAAATGGGATTAATTCAATAAAGTCTTATGGAAAGAACATATGAAAAGTAAAAGAAAATGGTGAAAATGTTTCTCTTTGTATCTTAGATTTCCTAGAAGTTCTATACTTATCGTCCAAAATTACATGAAAATTTTATCGATAGTTTAGTGATTCAAAAATATTTTTAACTTCTGTCACTCACTGTTGAGTAGTAGAATAATAATGTGACTGATTCAAAGCACAGCTAAGTTTTTCAAAATTATTTGTTTTGCTTATGTAACTTGGTTTTATAAAGCATATCTCCAACCCAGTTTATGGCTCTCATTCCAAGTAAAATGAAAGCCAGCCAAATATCTTTCTATAAATATCTAAAAAGAAAATTTATAATGTCAATCTACAGACAAAATACCTAGACTTCCCGGAGCCACATATTTAAATTTTGAAGATGTTCATTCTCCAAAAGTTTACTTTTTTAAATTAATTATTCCTTTAGGATGTAAGAGCCCTTAAAATAATAATTTTTCCTGGTTGAAAAGTAACATAGTGTTTTGATATATCTAAATACTGTATTTTTGACCAATAGTTTTTACTCTATATAATCACATAGTAGAGATTTTTCAATTCACATTATGAGAAAATTGTTTAAGGAAGTATGAGTGATAGATTTGATGGAGTGGTTTGACTGTAAAAAGCAATTACATAACTTCAGAAAGTATGGAAGAAAATTAATCGCATCTTAAAAATATTATTTAGGAGTTAAAGTGTATAAAATAAGGTAGGAATTCATCTTTGACTATAGGATAAAACAATAAAAACCTGCTTATTTTCCTGCTAATAATTATCTGAAGGGACATCACCATTTTTTAAGGAGTAGCAAAAAATAGAAACATGCTACATTTTACAAGTGGGAGTGTATAGTTTGGAAGGTAAATAACTATACGAAAGCCATTTAAGTGCATCTGTTGTAATTCTGACAATTTTTTTTTCCTGAAAAATGTGTTGAATTCAGAAAATTTTAATGTGCTTGCTTAAAATTTTAACTTTATCCTGGAATTTCAAATTAGACTTTTTTTGGTTATTGATATGTTACAGCATGGTCAAGGGTGAAATTTATTCAAGGTCATCTTTAAATATAGTTCTTTTCTTCTACTGATTAGATTTTCTGTTTCTGTAAAGTTTCATGACCACAGACATAGACAGAAGGAGAAAATCAGCAACGTTTGTTGAAAATAAATGAGAAATGTGATTAAAATTTGTAGGACCAATTAACTAAATATGCATCAAATCAAAACCAGAGGTTTTATGAAGGGAAGAGTCCTTACTTGTACATTTTTATGTTCCCTTCAGGCACTTTTTGGAGAGTGTGGAAAGTTTAGTGAATCCTGAGACATACTTTTAAAGTCATTTAAACTCCCAATTTAATATAGTAAATTAGTTATCCAGACCAAAATTATGAACTCAAACTGGGTCTTGGTCACCTAAGTGGTAACTGGTAGAGCAGGAAGTTGCTGGAAAATCATACCAAATCATACAAGATAAATGGACTATTCTGGTGTTAATCGTGTTTCATTCTAATACGACTTTTAGACTTATGGACTTGGAAACTTATTAAGATAACAGAATAGCTAATTATTAAATCTGGAGAGAATGAATCTGATAGACCTCAGGGTGGACACAGGAAACTAGTCCCAGTGTTTCTGGGTGTCATTTTTCTTACAGTTTTTGTTGTTTTCAGAAATATTAGAGTGTTACCCATGTTTTTCAAGAGAATTTTTTTGTTTTAAAAATTATGTATGTTGGGGCGCCTGGGTGGCTCAGTCAGTTAAGTCTCTGCCTTCAGCTCAGGTCATGATCCCAGGGTCCTGGGATCGAGCCCCACGTTGGGCTCCCTGCTCAGTGGGGAATCTACTTCTCCCTCTTCCTCTAGTGTTCCCCCTGCTTGTGCGGTCTCTCTCTCTCTCTGTCAAATAAATAAATAAAATCTTTTAAAAAATTGTGTATGTTTATTATAGAAAACTTGGAAAATACAGCCAAATTCAAAGGAAGTAATTATCATCCGTAGTCTCACCACAATAAATAACCACTGACAATCTTTTAGTTTTGTATCCTGACAATACTTTTCCAAGCATATATGATTTGTAGCATACAAAGTAATGTGTGAATCCTTCCACCTAAATTGCAAATTCAGAGTTAGAAAATTACAAGTTTTTAAAATTACAAATTCACTGTTACAGACCATGGTGAGGAGCCTGGTAAATGATGTGGAGAGGAAGGGATGCATTTATTTATCCTCCCTGTCTGGATTTATTTTTGAGAGAAAAAAAGTTCATTGCTTTGTAACTAAGTTTCACTTCATGTTATCCTACATGTTCTGAACCCACTGCTTATGTATAAAATTCACCACTTGTATGTTACAATGGAGGCGTTTTTAATAACTTTAAAGGACAAGGGACTTTAAAGACCAAGACTAGTGTATACTTTAATTAAATATATATCATCCTGGAGTATAAAAAGAATTTATTTTCTACTTTTACGTGCCTTTACAATCATCTTGTTGGGAGTAAATGAGTTCTAAAAGTTCATGTTGCTTGCTTTTGTTAAAAATTTTGTTCCACAAACACGTACACAGATGTAATATGTATAACTATTTTATTTTAACTAGGCAGTTACTGTGAATGTTTGGGATTACTGTACTCATCATAAAGTCATTTATAATAGCTTCAGAATTCCTCAACAAACCAACATTTTAGTGTATTTCTAGCATGTTGTCAGTGTAATAAAACACATCGGAGGCCTAGTGAAAGAGCAAAGGCATTCTAAACGTTCACATACCAGTGTCGAGTCATCCCTAGTTTGGTGGGAGCCTGTATTTGGGAGGTTAGAATGTTTGGAATTGACCCTAATCATTTTTCTGGATTTTAGTGTCCAGAGCAGGATGGCTATGGAAGTACTGCACCATCATTGTTACCCGCTCATGCCAGTAAAATGTCTGCCTATCTGCCAGCAACGCAGGAACTTCAAGACCGGTGCCAGTGCATTCCAAACAAGGTTTGCTAGTTTCAATCTATGCCCACGGAAAAGCCACTACACAGAGGGAGCCAAGCCCCTTGGATGTGGCCCCGGCGCACAGATAATGTGTCTTGACCTTTAGTGCTAATTGAATCAAATACATAAGCCACTCCGTCCCTGGGTATGGGTTAAGAGAAGGGAATTGGGAATAGGATTTCCTGGGATTTTTTTTCTGGATAGTTCTGGAGCCATCAGACTTTCTTTCCAGGCTGTGAATTAGAATGGATAGAAAGGTAAAGCGGGGAGGGGGGACCCACCTGTACAGCAGACAAATAACAAGTAATTAATGTATGTTGGGAATAGGCTTCCGTTCTGGGAATTCACAGTTGAAGAAAACAGTGCCTGCTCTTTAACACGTACACAAGGTACTTTATATAGTATTTCTTTGTTGGTTACTGATACTGTAGGAAATAAGAAGAGAATATTACTTTAAGAATTTGCTTTATTTGTGCCAGTATGGTGCCCTGGTGAGGAAGAGTGGTCCTGTGAACCTTCATAAACTTCTTTTATGAATGTTAACAGCAGTCATGAGGCAGTGCTACAAGGAGGCTAAGCAATTTCTTGATGGTTTTCCTCTATGCCCATAGGAAAGAGGAAAAGAAAAAAGGAAAGAGGAAAAGGAAAGGAAAGAGGAAAAGAAAAAACTAGCCTTGGTTCCTAGAGCAGAATGTTCCCTAGTACTGTGCCTTACGACTTGCCCTTAGAGACTTAACACATTCAGCTACCACTTCACTCCTGGCTGGAAGAGTAGATATAGGAGTGAGGTAAAAGTTTAGAGGAACCTTACATTTCTTCTGGTAACCAAAATTGTATGTAAGCTCAATGAGAAGAGCAAGTACAAGGTGCAGGGGCCATAGAGGAGCATCACCTGTTCCAGTTGGTGGAAAGTCTCATAGAGGAGATGATGTCAAATGGCATTTGGAAGAGAGAGAGTACTGAGCCTCCTGAGAAGGGAAGGGCATTCTAGCAGAGGAACCAACATGAGCTCAGAGGAGAGTAAAGCTTTATCCTACTATTGTCACCTTCATATTTGTAAACTATTAGTCTTTAGCTCAAGGTGATAGAATGTTTGATAACACAGAATTCATTTTTGCTCAGGGAGAAGCAGGATTGCCAGGAATTCCAGGCTCACCTGGTCAGAAAGGAGATAAAGGAGAACCGGTAAGATACCTCAAAACACTGTAAGGATGAAAGTGGATTTGTCCAAAAGTGACTTTAAAATGCATCTATCTCTTATCTCGATGTCCCATACAAATGCACATTTCTGTTAAAGTCTATTAAGGACTATATTTAAAAGCTGATTGCTGAAATAAATAAGACTACATCAGCATTCAAATTTCCTTTTGAGTTCCTATTGAAACTAAAATTTGAAAAGATATGGAAACCCAAATCTTTGTATCTATAAACTATAAGCAAAATTGTGAAGCAAGAAAGTTTATTTTTTAGTTGTGCCCTAGCCTACTCTAGCATTCTGTTCTCCAGATACTTAAACTCTTATTTCTCTTGTGTGCTGATGGATCCCCACTAAACATTCTTTTTTAGCTTCCTATCATTTATTTATCTATTTTTTTTTTAAATAAAATTTTACCCCTTTCACCCATTTCTCCAACCTCCACTCCCTAATTCTGGCAACCACCAATCTGTTCTCTGTATCTGAGTTTGGTTTCCTCTCCTTTTCACTTCTCTTCTCTTCCTTTCCCTTCCTTTCCCTTCCCTTCTCTTCCCTTCTCTCTTCTCCTCTCCTCTCCCCCTCCCCTCCCCTCCTCTTCTCTTCCTCCCTCCCTCCCTCCCTCCCTCTCCCTCTTTCTCTCTTTCTCTCTCTTTTTCTTTTCTCCACATATAAGAGAGATCATATAGTATTGGTCTTTCACTGTCTGGCTTATTTCACATACTATTAATGCCTTTGAGGTCCATCCATGTTGTCATAAATGGCAAGATTTTATTGTCTTTCATGGCTGAATAATATTCCAGTGTGTGTATATGTGTGTGTGCTTGTATGTGTATCACATCTTCCTTATCCATTCATTCACTGATGGACACTTAAATTGTTCCCATATCTTGGCTACTGTAGATATTGCTGCAATGAATATGGAGGTGCATTTACCTTTTCGAGTTAATGTTTTTATTTTCTTCAGATAAATACACAACAGTGGAATTGCTGGATATTCTATTTTTAATTTTTTGGAGAATGCCCATACTGTTCTCCATAATGGCTATACAGTTTCTTTGTGGAAAGTTTCTCTTTCTGCATACCCTCATGAACACATGGTATTGCTTGTATTTTTAATAACAGCCATTCTAACGGATGTGAGGTGATATCTCATTATGGTTTTGATTTGTTATTTCCTTGATGATTAATGATATTGAGCACCTTTTCATGTACCAGTTAGTCATCTCTATGTCTTCTTTGAAAAATGTCTATTCAGGTCTTCTGCCCATTTTTTAATTAGATTTTCAATTTTTTTGTGGTTGAATTGTATAAGTTCTTTATATATTTGGATATTAGTCCTTTGTCAGATATGTGAATTACGTATTTTTTTCCATTCACTACATTGTCTTTTCATTTTTTGATCATTTACTTTGCTGTGCAGAAGCTTTTTAGCATGGTATACTTCCACTTATTTATTTTTCCTTTTGGTGTCAGATTTAAAAGTTATCACCAAGGCCTATGTCAAGGAGCCTAGTGCCTAAAAAATGTTTTTTTTTCTAGGAGTTTTATAGTTTCAGATCTTATATTCAGGTCTTTAATGTATTTTGAATTAATTGTGTAACATAGTGTAAGATAGTGGTCAAATTTTATTTTTTTTGCCTGTGACTGTCCAGTTTTTGCAACACCATTTGTTGGCGAGAGTGTCATTTCCTCATTTTATATTGTTGGCTCCTTTGTCATAAATTAATTGACCACTTATGCATGGGTTTAATTATTGTTTCTCTATTTTTTCCCATTATTTATGTGTCTATTTTGTTGCCAATATTCTACTGTTTTAATTACTATAGCTTTGTGATATCGTTTGAAATCAGGGAGCATGATGACTCTAGCTTTGTTTTTCTTTCTCAAGATTGCTTTGGCTACTGGGTTGGCTTTTTGTTTGTTGTTGTGGTTCAATACAAATTTTAGAATGATTTCTTCTATTTCTTTGAAAAATGCCATTTTGATAGGGATTGCATTGTATCTATAGATTGTTTTGGGTAGTATGGATATTTGAACAATATTGATTCTTCTTATCCGTGAGCATAGAATATCTTTCTATTTGTGTCTTCAGTTTCTTTTATTAATGTCTTATAGTTTTCAGTATACATATCTGTCACCTCCTTGGTTAAATTTATTCCTAAAACTTCTACTCTTTTTGATACAAATATAATTAAGATTTTTTTCTTTTTCTGGTAGTTCACTATTAGTACATAGAAACACAATAGATTTTTGTGTCTTGGTTTTGTACTCTGCAACCTTACTGAGTTTGTTAATTAGTTCTAACAGTTTTTTGATGAATTCTTCATGGTTTTCTCTATATAAAATCACGTCATCTGCAAATAGTGAGAGTTTCACTTATCCCCTTCCAATCTGGATGCCTTTTCTTTCTTTTTCATACCTATTGTCTTGTCGAAGACATCCAATACTATGTTGAATAGTAGTGATGGGATTGGGCATCCTTGTCTTGTTCCTGATCTTGGAGGAAAGACTTTCAGCTTTTCACCATTGAGTATGATGTTAGCTGTGGGCATGTCATACATAGACATTATTATGTTGAGGTACTTTCCCTCTATAAACACTGTTGAGAGTTTTTTATCATATCTGAATGTTGTCAAATACTTTTCCTATATCTATTGAGATGATCATATATGATTTTTATCCTTCATTTCATTAATGTGATGTATCATATTGAACCATCCTTGCGTGCCTATAGTAAATCCCACTTGATCATGGTGCATACTTTTAATAAATTGTTGAATTCTGTTTGCTAATATTTTGTGAGAATGTTTTCATCTATGTTCATCAGGGATATTAGCCTGTAATTCTCTTTATTTGTGGCATACTTGTCTAATTTTGATATCAAGGTTATGCTGGCCTCATAAAATGAGTTTGGAAGAGTTCTCTATTATTCTATTTTTTGGAAGAGTTGAGAAGAATTGATATTTATTCTTCTTTGGATATAGGGTAGAATTCACCAGTGAAGCTCTCTGATCCTATAGTTTTGTTTATTGGGATATTTTTGATTAATGACTCAATCTCATTATTAATTAGTCTGCTCAGGTTTTCTGTTTATTATGATTCAGTCTTGATAGGAGGTATGTTTCTAGGGATTTATCCATTTCTTCTATAATGTCTATATAGATTGTCCAGTTTGTTGACATAATCATTGTTCATGGTAGTCTAATGATCCATTATATTTCTGTGGTATCAATTTAACTTCTTTTTCATTTTTGATTTTGAGTCCTCCCGTTTTTTTTTTTTTTTTTTACCTTGATGAGTCTACTTAAGAGTTGTCAATTTTGTTTCTCTTTCAAAGAACCACCTCTTAGTTTCAGTGATCTCTATTTTGTTTTTAGTCTCTATTCATTTCTGCAGTACTCTTTGTTATTTCTTTCTTCTACTAACTTTGGGCTTTGTTGTTTTGGTCTTTTTCTTTTTCCCCTAGTTCCTTGACGTGTAAATTTGAGCTGTTTATTTGAGACTTTTCTTGTTACTTGTAGTAGGTGCTTATCACTATGAACTTCACTCTTAACAATTGCTTTTGCTATATCCCACAATTTGTTATGCTGTCTTTACATTTTTATTTGTTGCAGGTATTTTTTATTTCTCTTCTGATTTTTCTTTGATCCATTGATTATTCAGTAGCATGTTGTTTAATGTCCACTTATTTGTGAATTTTCCAGGTTTTTTTCATGTTATTAATTTCAAGTTTCATACCATTGTAGTTAGAAGAGATGCTTGATATGATTTGTTTCTTAATTTTTTTTCCTCTCAAGTTTTTATTTAAATTCTAGTTAGTTAACATATAGGGTAATATTGGTTTCAGGAATAGAATTCAGTGATTCATCACCTCTATATAACACCCAATGCTCACCACAATAATCGCCCTCCTTAGTACTCGTCACCCACATAGCCCATTTAGCCCATCCCAAACCTACCTCCCTCCATTAACCCTCAGTTTGTTCTTTGTAGTTAAGTGTGTTGTGCGTTTTGCTTCTTTCTCTTTTTTCTTCCCTATGTTCTTCTGTTTTGTTTCTTAAATTCTACATATGAGTGAAATCATATACTCTTTGTCTTTCTCTGACTGACTTATTTCACATAGCATAATATACTCTAGCTCCATCCACATCATTGCAAATGGCTAAGGCTCATTCTTTCTGATGGCTGAGTAATATTCGTGTGTATGTGTGTATACCATATCTTCTTTATCCATTCATCATTCAATGGACCTTTGGGCTCTTTTCATAATTTGGCTGTTGATAGTGCTGTAATAAACATGAGGGTGCATGAGCCCCTTTGAATCAAGATTTTTGTATCTTTTTGGTAAATACTCATCATCAGGGGAATACAGTTTCTTAAATTTATTAAGATTGGCTTTGTGGCCTAACATTTGATCGATCTTTTTTAAAGATTTTATTTATTTATTGGAGACAGAGACAGAGATAGTGACAGAGCTAGTGAGAGAAAGCAGGAGTAGGGAAGGGAGGGAGAAGCAGGCTCCCTCTGAACAGGGAGCTTGATGTGGGTCTTGATCCTAGAGCCCTGGTATCATGACCTGAGCTGAAAGTTTAACTGACTGAGCCACCCAGGTGCCCCACATTTGATCTATCATTAAAAATGTTCCATGTGCACTTGAGAAGAATATATATTTTGTTGCTTTGCATGGAATGTTCTGATCCTGGTGGGTAATGCTTTCACTTTATTCTTGAATTCATTTTGCTTGTATTTGGTTGAGGGTCCTTGCATCTATTTTTATCAGGAATATTGGCTTATAATTTATTTTTCTTGTGAATTCTCTTGTCTGCTGATAGGTTCCTACTGAAGATTCTTCCTTAGCTCCCAACACTTTTCCTAAACAGCACACCTTTATTGAACTAATTTTAAGCAATATCCCATGCTTAGAGATTTGCCTTTCCCTTCTCCCTACCATATCAAAACTTAAGGGTTCCATTTTCCACTTTTTAATGTC